TTAGTCAAGACTGGCCAAAGAGTCTTTGCCAAATGGTCGTTGCCTACGTCTTTGGGCGCCCATGAGTATTCCACATCGCCCGCCATCTTGTATGATCGATATCTGTTGTTCTCTGAGCTACAGATGATGAGGTGAAGAGCTATGCAGGCTCGTTTGCCAAACCCGGGAGGGCGAAGTGCCTGACGGAAGGTTGCCCCTTAGCCGTCCCAAGAAAATTCAAGTCGCGGTGTAAGAGACGGGATCGTGCAGGTTCGACGTGGTGTGGTCGGGTAGTTGCAGTTCGCTTGTTTGGGGTGTGCTATCTTTATCACTGGTTCCCGAGAGTTTGTGGAACAGGAAAAGTCGGGCTGGAGGAAGGTATCGTGGCTCGGAGGGTGGCGACCCGGCGTAGAACTTTTCGAACCAGTGCACCACTGGCTATGCGGCTGATTTCCGTACTTGCTGATGGGATAGATGCTCCCGAGAGACGGGTTTTGTCCTCCCCAAGGCGAATGTTTGTGGGCGTCGTTGCCTTTTTGATGCGTGTGAGTCTGGGGTACCTTCTCAGACACCGGATGAGGCATCAACTCACCTCCCAAACCAACGCTTTCCCCCCTTCTGGCTTCCCAAGTGCCACAAAGTTGGTCGGATATGATCGAGTCGTCAGTCAGGTCTTATGAGATCAACGAGTATATCATCGGCGGGATCAGCAGTCGAGGACAAAGAAGAGCTGAGGAGTGTTGGGAGCTAAAGAGGCGCTGAATGGACAATCAGATGATGGGACGGGTCGACCGGCTTGTATATACGTCTTGAGAGGTCCTGAGCTTGACGTGGGGGGGGGGGGCGACGGAAAGGGAAAGGGGCCGTCGACGGAGAGGCACCGATGGCTTCGAGACTCGACCCTAGGCAACACGCCCGGTTTGGATCTTTCCGGCACAGGCTGATTGAGTGAATAAGCCAAACAGAAGAGAGCAAGCAGGGAAGCAAACAAACACCCAGAAAAGCGAGCATCAACGTTCAGGGATGCCCAACACGCACGGGTCAGGTCACAGTTGTTTGGATGGACGCCGACACCGAGCTAGAGAACAATTTGGGGGGCATCAAGCGCGTACGGCCGCCCGAATTCACACATGGGTTGGCCCTTTGGAATTGAGACCGGCCGGTTCGAGGCACCACACGCACTGCACGCTGCTGCAAAGTGCACGCCTCTCGGGTCCCGGAGGCGTCTTTTGGTGCGCGGTGTTAGACGCCTCCGGCTTCGTCTGCGCAGCATGGGAACGATGACGGTCGGGGCTGCCGTCGTGGCAAGAGCTCCGCCCAGAAATGCTGCTAAAGCTTCCCAGGCCGAGAACGAGAGAGCATGTAAGATATTTGGTGGTGTCAGTTGGACCCCTGGTACGGGTATCCGTAGATGAATAGATCAAGGCACATTTCCGACCTGCGGCGAAGACGGCAAGCTGGCAGACACAACGGACGTTCTTCCCATGCTTGGTCGGATTGGGCCTGCCCCATGGTCGATGTCTTGCCGCGCTCGTTGATGGGATGAGACGAGAGGATCCCGCGCGACGGGAGCAGGGACCAGGATGAAATCGATGGACATGTCTTGGCCTGCTGTGCGTGGAATGCACAGCCCAGCCGGGCCCGAGAATTTTTGGTATCTGAGCCTGAGAGCTCCCCCACCGTTGGCAGGGCCCAAGCAGACCGCGTGCGCGATGGGTTGTCGAGACAAAACATCCGAGCGCGGTGGAAAGTAGGAAGGAGCTGTGTGGTATCCGTACGGTAACAGGTGAGCTGCCTAGCTGCATACCCAAGCTCTGCAAGTTGTTCTTCACTCTTCATCACCTAGGATCAGACGAGCCGCTGAGCGGGCCTGATCGACGAGAAGCGCAACCGGGGTTAGGCGGTGGGGGCCGCTAAGAGCAAGGAACCGTGGGGCGTGGACACTGGCTGGATGGATGACTTGGTGATCGATGTCTGCTGCAAGCTGATCGTAGTACGGCAGAGGAATGAATTACTGCATATATGCATGCACGCACTCGGATGGTGTTTGAGCTATCTGAGGACTCTGGCCGGCATTGGCTCATCCTGTCATCTTCACCTTATTTTGGTCTTTTCACCTTTCTGCAGCTCCGGTTGCCGTGGATATCGATATGCTTAAACATCTGTTCTTGCCTAAACCTTACCTTTCTTCAGGCGACATTTTCCATGGCTGACAAACGGAACAACAAGATCAGACTGTCTGACGCGGAACACCGAGAATCTGGGCTCCCAGGAGTGAGATTATCTTGTGGTGTTTTCCAGAATCCTAACACTGTCTAAAAAGCCAAGACTGCGTTGCTTTTCTTAGACAATCGGGACTACCTAGGTAGGGAGGCGACATTGAAAGAAGCTGTCGACGAAGACGAATAGAGCTGTACCGGGTATCCACACATGCCTGCAAGAAAGACGCCGATTGGCCCATCTGGGGTTCTCTTCTGCCCCATTGTGAAGTGACTGGGATGGTGCGCTAGGACAATTTAGTCCAGGGGCAGCCAATCTTGCAGATGAAGATCCCGGCTGTGTGGGGAATCCTTTCCTCACCACAGCACACTGCACGCTCACATCACCAATGCCGTCGTTCCCTCTTCAGTTCTCACTAGGTATTTCAATGGCCCACCAATCTGAAGGACAAATTCCCCGAACTCCGGATCCACACTATCCTTCTACGCTGAAGCTTTCAACCGAGGAAACATACAGAGCGACGTACCGCACCATCATGACGCTTCACCAAATTGTTTGAACTCGCAAGCACGTTCGTCAGTCCTGGACTCGACGCATTTCACTCCCCAGCATAAAGGCCTCTGTTTGTCTCAACGTCAACATCGCAACGGCCAAAAATGGTCAATTTGCAGGTCGTCGCATGCGCTTCTCATCCTGCTTCCCAGGCTAGGCTCCATGCCGCCATAGTCTCTTGTCTGAGGACATGGTAACGGTACCATCTCCTCCTGCCCACGACGTCCGTGGACGTCCGAGCGGGCATGGAATCATCGCTGGAATGTGGTATTTCAGGATATCCTGGGACAACGGCGGGAATACGAGACCTCCTGCCACCGTCTGGCGCCTCTCGAAAATATTCGAAAAATGACACACGCCTTCGTTTGCGGCTTCTCTCCTCCACTTCAAGCCTGGCCCCCGACGGAGGCCAAATGGCTATCCATCACTGCCATCCACAGTGGCACGCCATCCCGACTCAGCGCCCATATGCATGGGCCAGCCGTCACTGAAGCATCAAGGAACTTAATAGCTCAATACACATCGTCGATTTTCTTCGGCGCGACCGGCAGCGGCAAGCGAACGCCATCCCAAGTAACGCATATCATCTCACCTTCCGCGCATGTACTACTTGAGCTTCCGTTTGCGTGAGCCGCCGCGCCCCTCCTCGCTCGCCGTCGACCTAATTAACATCTGACGAATAAGCGACGCGGTCTACCAAACGCGAACTGGTGCCACGTCCCTTGGCTACCGTGAATCATCATATTCCAGATCCCGTGTCAGCATGGTCCGCCATACCCGGGAGGCCTGTTCAGTCTCTATTCGTCCGTTGCCGCGGCCACAGTTCAGGGTATGCTTTGTACCTGCATGCTTTGTACCTGCATGAACTCCCAACCTCTCTTCTGCCTCGCCTACAGGTGCAGGCAGGTACAGGCATAGTCGTCCGATATTCATGATCTGCGTAGCAACATGTTGTCGGGACGTTGGGGGGCATCATTGTCTCGCAAACTCATGCTGGCAGAGTCAAAGTCGCCTTTTCCAATGCCACTTGCCCCTACTGCCTCGCCCTCTTTCTTCTCGCCCACGAGTTGCCCACGAGATGAAATAAGTGATGGCGCCCTCTTAAAAACTGCCTCAACTGAAACACTTACACTTTTCGTATTTCCTCACTTGAGCTGCTAATACCTGCCAAGAAACACCATCGCTTCACGTACATCCTAGGGGCATCTGCACTCTCCACCGCACCCACTCTTCCCTCTGTCTCAAACCACATCCGCAACCGGCGTATCTTGGCTGCCCGATTCTTCGCTAGAGAACCGGTCTGCCCTGGCCGTCCTCTAAGCTTACATACATGCAATAGCACGAGAAGTGGTTGCTTAGGATGCAAATCATTTACAAGTCCGGCCTGCCGTCTGTATCGCCGCTCCCATAATCTTTCCCGTCATCACCGATCTTCCTTCCCACATAATCGCTTTAAAGATTGCTATGCTTGGTCGGATATCAGTCGACCATGATTTCACTATCACCGGTCCTGCCGTTGGCGACCTCGTTTCGTGCACACATTGTCTGTATTTCGCTACACCACTGCCCCTCTATCTCTCTATTGAATGAATGCCATGAGTCTTTCGCCTGGAGATTAGAAGCAACGGTGACCCAGATGTTTACCGGTAGCAATACATTTCAGCCCATGAAAACGCATATCATGTTCTCGGATGTGATGCTGAAGATGTGAACGTTTTGCTTCGGCCCTTGCCAAACTGAGCCTTTCCGCCGTCTACGGCCCCGTACATCCCGTCAAGCTGATCCTAGCCAGCTTCGTGACTAGCCATCGCCACATTTATCTTATCTGCGTGAGTGACTTCTCCTGCTTGTGGAAGCTCAAAATCATTCGCCATGAGGCCACCCAACAAACCTCGCTGGGCCTCGTGGGCTGGCCATCCAGATTGGCTGTCGGTTGAAGTCCTCAGGAAAGCCTCAATCTTAGCCGAAGGCGGCCGCTGGTACTTCCTGTTGCTCGGGGCACGGAATCTGTGTCGTGGTAGACTTGGAAGTCGACCCTACATGCCAGATCTCCCGGCGACTCTGATGTCGAGTCGATTTCGTGAACGGCGCCTGATAGCCTGCGATGAATAGTTTCCCCGGACCATAGTTCCGTAGGATGCACTTTCTTCACGTCCTGTACTCAGAGCGAGGTTCCCCCCGTTAGCAAATCATTCTTGAGTGTGGCGGAATCCGCGAGACTGTTTCTTGCGAGCATCCGATTCAGGCTTCTAGCCCATAGCTGGTTTGCCACGCTTGTCGACAACGCTATGAAGATGATGCGTCAAGGAAGCCTTTGACTGCTCCCTTTCATCTCTGTCCGTCACTGCATTGGAGCATGAAGAATGTGTCTGCGCGAAGCTGTTCCCACGCTTGGCCGAGGATTCGTACCAGTCAACGTCACTTAGCTGGAGCTTGCGAACTCTCTGTCCGCCGCGGTCTTTGCCGCGATCCGATCGGTTGTGGTGGTAAGAGGTCGGCTTGTCGTGGCCTGCTCGGACGTTGTGAATATTTGGGTTTGAATGAAGTGTTGTTTCGTTGTGATTACCATCTTGATCGTCGTTTTCTCGAAGATCATAATTCAAGACAAGATTCTTGATACGCTGCTGTTCCTCCCTCTCAGCCTGCTGCTGATTTTTCATAGCCACTGCGAAGGTTGAGTCCGAAGGCAGCTCCACGGTCCGCGTCTGATGAAATGTCAGCGACACGCATAGGAATATTGGGGGAGTGGCACGCACCTGCTGGCGATTGCCTTTCTTCGTCAATAGAGAGAATGCCATCGTGCTGCTGGGCACAGGCGCAGGAGCCTCTCCAGTCTCTCCTCCCGCCGACGCTTCCTTGTTTTTGCCTCGCACTGGCAAGGGCACATCGAAAAGCGGCTTGCGCTCGAACTTGCGCGACTCTAAACTCTCAGCCATCATCTTAGCATATTCACGATCAAATTCAGCCTCAGCCTCCGGATCGATTTGCTCCTGCTGACGAGTAACAACTATCGCCTCATCTTCACTCTCAGAATCGCGATGTGAGAGATCGATTTCTTGATCCTATTCATACTTGTTAGTGCATGGTCCAACAGTACTTGTTATCTCTTACCTCGATGCCTTCATCCTCAGAATCAGTCTCTTCTTCGTCGGCCTCGGCTTCAGGTAGGTCTGCATCTCCGTCCTCGTCGTCTGAAGAAGATCCAATGGAAGCGTCATCATGATCAATGATTTTATCTGCCCCTGAAACCTTCTGGTCCTGAGCAATGGCGAGTTGGAAGGCCTTTGAAGCTTCTTCTAGGTTGGAAGCGAGCTTCCACTGAGGTCTAGTGAGAGCAAAAGTGTCTTGGATGATGAACTCAATATCCATCGGCAAAGGGTGTTTAGTGTAAATGTAGTACTGGTCCATGTCAGTCCACAAACTCAGGAACTGGAAACGACAGTTCCACGAACCTGGAAGAAGGAGAGGAAATAGTCAAGTTTCTTGCCGGCAGCGCCCTTAGCGAAGTACATGCCGCATGTTTCGAGAACTGTCGCAATCAAACGGATGCGGAAGAAGTCGTCAGGAAGATCGAAGGAATTCAAGCGGCCCGGTATAGGAGGACCACCGTGGCCGAACGTCATAATCTTATACATGGTATCAAAGATGACTGGGTGCTCGACCATCCTGTAATTGTAGAGCTCGCCGATGTACTTGACTTCAGAAATTCGCCGTTGATAGAACTTGAAGTCGTTCTGCTCCAGGCCGAAGGAAATGGATTCCATAACATTATCGATAACCCTCACCACAAACGCGGGATGGTATCGGTATAGTGCGCTGAGCAGAATGGCGAGGAGGTGAATGTTACCGTACTTGACTTTGCCGGGTTTAGAGAAAACCTTTTCCAGGATGCTGACGACCTTGAGAGTGGAAATTAGTATCCCTGCTCTGGATTGGTTCCTGAATATATTCTGCTTACTTCTGCCTCTTCCCAATGAAGTCTGCGGATTTGCTTCAAGATCTTACTGTAATTACGCTTAGTCATGTCCATGTAGACCAGCTTGCGAATGAACAGCTCCATAGGGTTACGCTCTTTTTGCTGAATGGCAGGCCGGTCGGGAGGGTCGACATAGTAGACAGCGTTCTCAATAAGCATGCGTTCGGCTTGGCCAATGTGCTGGACAGACTTCTTGCGTTGCAGCGTCTCGAGGAAAGTTGCCATACGAGGCGAGGTCTCCGGGTTGCGTAGAAGATAGCGGCCGCAGTTCTCCAAGAGGTTGCAAATGATTTCAACGTTCATCCTCGAGAAGTCGTCCAGGCTGACCTTGAGACAGTGGAAAACAACGTGCTCAGGGACGATGCCGAACTTGGTCAGCTCAGCAAGGTACCGGATGTTGCTCAACCGGACCTGGCCGAGGAAGTCCTTGTCCTTGCGTCTCTGAAGACTGCGAAACTCGGCATCGAGATAGTCAACCAGACCTTTGGGGATATCAGGCATATATCGTCCCAAGGTCGCAGCCAGTCTCGCCCACGACGGGAGAAGATCGCCTCGGCCTTTGGGAACCTCGGTCAGGGCCTTGATCAACCTATTCCTTGAAGCTTTGGAGTTCAGGTAACAGAAATCAATGGCAGCCTGGTCAATGATGTCTTTGTTTGTGAGATCAGGCAGTCGGGCGAGTACAGCATCAACTTGAGCACCAATCGTCTTGTTGGCAATCGCAGTAGACTGGTCATCGGATGGGTCCGGAACTTTCGGAGCTTCGGAGGCCTCAGCTGGATCAATCTTCTTGCCCACTTGCTCCTCACTATCCGGCTTCTTCTTCTTTCCATCATCCAGAAGAATTCCCGGAACCTTGCCTTTCAAGTCGACCAGATTTTCGTAGAAGCGACGCTCGTCTTCGTCCTCCCAGATACCGGCACCATCTCCGAGACCACGCAGGTACTCTCCTGCCTTGACCAGGCCGATTGACCCATTCGATGCCCCCAAAGAATCGTCGTTGTCCTTGAGATCGGGCATGTCGGCACCAATAGCATCCGCGATGGCCTGAGCGTTTGCCACGAGTCTCTCCTGAGCCTTGACCTGCTTTTCGAAATTTGCCTGACGGTCCTCGAAGACCTCGCCGGATTTGACGTAAGCCTCAGCATTGCGTCGGGCCTGTGAATGAATGGACTTTTGATCGCGAACCACGTGATTTTTCACATCTTCGAAGTACTTCTTGAGAATGGTTTTGAACTTCTCCTGAAGGTCGGGGGGCGTGATCGGTTGTTCATCGGTCTCGGTTGTGGAGTCTTCGGTGTCGCCGTCGCTTTGCGCAGGGCCGTTGGAAACCTTCGTGGCGCCGTCCTCCTCAACTGTTTTTCGGCCCTCGCCCACCGCAGATTTGACGCCAAGAATGTCCCAGCTAAAGGCCTTGACGAAAATGACGAGCAGAGGCAAATTGACATGCTCTCTGTCATGTCCAAGCAAGTCTTTGAGCACCTCAAGAGGAAATGGCTCGGCAGCACCAGTCTTGTTCGATTGGGCCTTGATCTTCAACTCGGGAACCTTGCCTGTTGCGCCCTTGGTGGCATCGTCCGGTCGGGTAACATCGTCGAGGGTCCGGAGGACATCAACTAGCCAAAGTTCAGTGACGACGCGCAAGAGCACTCGTTGGCGCGTTAAGCGCTCTTTCTCCTCCTTTTCGCGGACTTCCGGGGCCAGTGACTTGAGTAAGCTCTTGTCGGGCGTGGCCATTCCCTTGCCAAGCAGCCATCCCAAGTATTCGGTAAACTCGCTGGGGCCGAAGCGCTGGTGCAGAGCGCTGACGATTTCGACACCGGCCTCGATCTCGCCGGGGGACTTGAGTTTGCATAAGCCCTCATAGCAGGCAGAAACAATCTCGGAGAGGTATTTGTGCAGGCTGAGGGTGCGTATCTCCTGGAGGAAGGTATTCAGAGTGGCAGCGGAGATTGCGGTTCGGAGGCGCTTGATGAAGGCAGTGTTCTTTTTCAGAGAGGAATCGAGGGATTTGCTGGCGGCGAACAGATCTGTGGAGGGCAGGCAGTCAGAGAGGGGCGTTTTTGAGCATCGCGGGGTGTGGGCATGATGGTACGGACCTGTCTCGCCTTCCCAAGCGCGGGTGTTCAGGGAGCGCAATTTGCCTGTTAAACGACGTCAGTCAGCAGGGGGGCGCGCAAAGGACGAGGGAGGAAAAGTTGAGGCAACGGTCACTGACGCTTCCTTGCACGATCCATGGCAGACCGCGTTTGTTCGTCTCGAGGCCTTGCCGAAAGTCAGCACTTTTGCAGGAGCGAGAAGACGATTCGTTTGACGTACGTCGAGAATGCGGGCGATGCTCCAGTGGAGGTCGATGTGAGTGAGGTGCGCGCTACCTTGTTTGCTTGTATGGACAAGGTTGCTGTGGTAGGTAAGCGGAGGCAAGGTTGGCAGGCCCTAGGCGCCCAGCAGGTGTCCGGACCGTAGGTACCTACCTACCTGTCTACAACGGTCCTAGGTGAGTCTGAAGGTGGCCTTGCGGGTGAAAGCCTGTGTAGTGGATGTGGGGAGATCACGGTCGCTTTCGCGGTCCGGGCGGTAAGCGTCATTCCCGTCAACCTCAAGGTCGTACTCAAGATTAAGCCCGCAGTGTCCATAAATTCCATCTCCCGTCTTACCTGGGACATGGAGATGTGTACGATACTTATGATGGGTAGGATAGCAGGCAATGGTTTCAAGAATTGTTTGCTACACCATGGCCCCCTTTCATGCCTCTTGGGGTACACGAACTTCCCGTGCCGTCAAGAGCAAGAAAACCATGAGCCAGCCATGCCTGGATAACGACGGCGTGTCAGGCGTTCAGGGCCTTTCCACAATTCAAGGAGGAGTCCAACGAGGCGTCATCCATCCAGGTCGAACTTACCGGCCGAGACCTCCGCGTCTTTGGGATCCGAATACAAAGTGTGAGCCAAGGTGAGCGCGGCTACGTTGTCGCGCTGCCCATGACTAAATACCGGATGATGCAAGGCACGATTGTGGCATTTTCTCGGCGACTAGGACATGGTCGCGAATGATCAAACGTTGCTTCTCCGAACATCTCCAGGGCCCGTCCCTTTGGGTTTCTGAGCTTCGCGCCGGCTTCCGACTGGACCCAAGCAGAATGATGCCCACACAACGCAATGGACGAGATACCTGCATGCCGATGAGGCACATCGTTACCCGCACTCTTGCTTGTTGCTCCTGGCTTACATTGAGCGAATGGTTTTGGGTGCCACGGCAGTAGGGCTTGAGAACCAGAGACGTGGGGCCGGCTCGCACGCTTCGTCCAATCCCATACCCTTACACCCCGGTCTGCCGATAAGGATAAAGGGAGAGAGCCCAGGAAAAAGAGTTGGTTGAAGCATCTCCGCGCTGGTGAGATAATTATATGTCTACATACCCCAGGTACATCCGTACTTCTAACGCCGTGTCGTGCTTTGTGTCCTTATCGCCCCAATGGCATCAGTCGAATTGCAGGCGCCAATTCATCATCCAAACAATACCTAGGCAAGGGCTATGGCGCGCGCTGATAAGGAGTCCCGTTTGTTCTTGTCGACCTCCGCGGAAGTTGAAGCATGCTCAGGCCCCTCCGCCTCGAAAACGGGTCAAATCTTGCATCTCCTCGCTCGCTGCCGTGTGTTCGTCAGTCTCATCGGGACGCTTGGTGGGTGCGATTGTGTGTTGCGCAGTAGTGGCCCTTTCTCCGGGACTATGTTCAAGGTTATGGGGCTGGAAATAACTTGAATCAGGTAGGGTATGTTATGGATCCAGAGCATTCGTTGTCAAGCCTAGGCACCTAGCTGAACGGCGTGCTATCATCCTTCACCTCACTGGGCATGACGCCTCCGTCAAGTCGATCCAACTCTCCGGGCTGACTGGTTCTACTTAGTGCCATCCCGTCTGGTGATGTGCCGTTGCACCATCCCATCCATCCCATGCTTCGCCATGCCATGACGGACCAGCCCAGTCTACGCCGTACGTCTGCCCTCCTTGCCTCCTGTTGTGCAGGCGGCCCGCCCACACCACAACCACACAGCTCCCGCGCCAGGAGATCCAAATCTCTTCCACCAACCCACTCTTGAGGGTATTTACTCACCAGAATCCCGACTCTCACCAGTCTGATCTCCCACTCCTGTCCCCCCGATATGCAATCTTCGCCTTAACTCCTACTTCATCGAAAACCATCTCATCTTTGATCTGATTCATGTGTACAAAGCCATAGTTATCTGGCTTGTGATTACCGCTCAGACATTTCAGCTTACAACACTCATCTTACGTTAGAAAAGACAGTCCACCTCAGATTCCAACTTACACTCAACAAGCCAGTCGTCAGTATGAATGTGCTCGCGCCCTCACCTCCTGTTTCGTTGCCGGAATCTTTGTCAAAACATGACATAACATTCCCACCGAGTCCGGCAACCACGGTGAGGGAAGGCCAATCTCAAAGCGTCGACGGATCAGAGGCAGGCCTACTTGATGAATTCGCCCCCGAAGAACCCCGCGGGTATCCTTTGCCTCCAAAATCAAGAGTCAACAAGGTCTTGACAGAAGACCTCAAGACACCAGACAGCCACGTCGTTCGAGATCCTCGACTGATACGTCTCACTGGAGTTCACCCTTTCAATGTTGAGGCACCCTTGACCGCCTTATACAACGAAGGGTTTATCACGACCAAGGACCTGCATTATGTTCGAAACCACGGAGCTGTGCCCAAATGCGAGGACGAGGACATGTTTGACTGGGAGTTCACTGTTGAGGGCGAAGTCGAGAACCCAATCAAAATGTCTGTCAGGGACCTCATCGCGGACTACGACCAAATCACGTACCCGGTAACCCTCGTGTGCGCAGGGAACCGCCGCAAAGAGCAGAACGTGGTTCGCAAGACCAAGGGTTTCTCCTGGGGCCCTGCCGGCTTGTCGACCGCCATCTGGACGGGTGTCGGCATCGGCGACCTCCTTGCTCGAGCAAAACCCAGGAGAGGCGCACGGTATGTTTGCTTCGAGGGCGCGGACAAGCTACCAAACGGGTATTACGGAACGAGCATCAAACTGAACTGGTGTATGGACCCCAACCGTGGGGTGACTGTCTGCTACCGCATGAACGGCGAACTGCTCCCTCCCGACCATGGGAAGCCCGTCCGCATCATCATTCCTGGACAGATTGGCGGCAGAAGCGTCAAGTGGCTGAAGAAAATCATAGTCACGAAAGAGCCCAGCAGCAACTGGTATCACATCTACGACAACCGCGTGCTGCCAACCATGATCTCTCCCGAGGCCAGTGCAGACCTGCCCGACACATGGAAGGACGAGCGGTATGCCATTTACGATCTCAACACCAACAGCGCTACCGCCTTCCCTGCACACGACGAGGTCTTGTCACTGACCAGTGGTCCCGAATCATACAAAGTTCGTGGCTACGCCTATGGAGGTGGCGGAAGGCGCATTACAAGAGTCGAGATTACCCTTGATCGCGGCAAGACGTGGATGCTTGCCAACCTCAACTATCCTGAAGACTTGTATCGACTGGCCCCGGAGGGCGAGACTCTGTACGGCGGCAGAGTGGATATGGACTGGAGAGAAACGTGCTTCTGCTGGTGCTTCTGGGATTTGGACATCCCCATCAGCCAGCTCGCCGACGCAGCAGACGTCATGGTACGAGCAATGGACGAGAGCATGATGACGCAGCCGAGGGACATGTATTGGAGCGTCCTAGGTATGATGAACAATCCTTGGTTCAGGGTCATCGTCCACAAGGAGGGGCACAGCTTGCGCTTCGAGCACCCTACGCAGCCAGTCTTGGGAGGTGGCGGGTGGATGGAGCGAGTAAAGAAGGCCGGTGGCAATCTGTCCAACGGCTTCTGGGGCGAGAAGATCGAAGGTGAAGCGGAGGAGGTGATTGAGCAAGAACCACCCAAGGAGATCTGCATGACCAAGGAAAGCGTCAAGCGAAGCATCACCATCGAAGAACTCCGGCAGCACGGAGGCGAGACGGAGCCATGGTTCGTTGTCAATGGCGAGGTTTACGACGGAACTCCTTTCCTAGAGGGCCACCCAGGTGGTGCATCGTCGATCACGAGTGCCGCGGGTCAGGATGTGTCGGAAGAGTTCTTGACCATTCGTAAGTTTTGCCCTTCCCACACACACGCCAAAAAGTGACCATTGGAGGCTAAGACGTAATCCTTACAGACAGCGAAAACGCAAAGGCAATGATGCCCGACTACCACATTGGTACTCTGGACGAGGTTGGGAGGAAAGCACTTGCTCTGGGCGAGGTTGAAGAGCTACACGATGATGGTCCACGGGCCATCTTCTTGCAACCCAAGGTGTGGACGAAGGGTATTTTGTCGGAAAAGACAAGGATATCTCCCGACAGCAAGATATTCAGCTTCAAGCTCGAACATCCGGACCAGGCCATCGGTCTGCCAACTGGTCAGCACTTGATGATGAGGCTGCGCGACCCCGTAACCCGAGAGGCCATTATTCGCGCTTACACGCCCCTTTCAGAGTGTTCACAAAAAGGAAAGCTGGATGTGCTCATCAAGATCTATAACGATCTTCCGGGTCGTCCCGGTGGCAAGATGACGCAGGCGCTCGACGCGATCCCCGTCGGCCACTGGGTCGACTTCAAAGGCCCTGTCGGCAAATTCGAGTACCTCGGCAAGGGCATTTGCAGCATTTCGGGCAAGGCGCGGAGCATCAAGCGCTTCATCATGGTCTGCGGAGGCTCCGGCGTAACGCCCATTTTCCAGGTACTTCGTGCCGTCATGAATGACGCTGAAGATTCAACAAGGTGCCTCGTCCTTGACGGCAACCGCGCCGAACACGATATTCTTTGCCGCGAGGACCTCGACACCATAGCTACCGCTAACCCTGACAAGTGCCGGCTAGTCCACACGCTCACCCGACCACCTACTGGATGGAAGGGTCTGACGGGTTACCTGGACAAAACTGTCTTCGAGGGGGAGGTGGGCCCGTGTCGCAACGACACCAACGGCGAGGAGATGATACTTATGTGCGGCCCGCCAGCGCTAGAAAAGAGCGCGCGCGACATCCTATCTGAAATGGGCTGGAGGGACGAAGATTTCCTCATCTTCTAGACGAGTTGCCGTTTTTAGCTCGGAATTGAATGATGGTATTGGATTGTCAAACGCGGCGTCGCGAACGGTCTTGAAGATCTCGGGTTTCGGCAGAGGGAACAAGGTCATGGGCGTGGAGCAGAGCCGCTTCCGCCACGGGCCGTCAGGGCGCACAGGCGTTGCAGGCCGCCACCATCAGAATGCAATAGCTCCGCAGGTGGGGATAGCCAATGCGTGTAGAGGTATTTGGAAGAAGAGACGGAATCGAACATCTCCGGAATAAGGTTGATAAGCGTTTCGTACCTTGACCTGGGCACGTGGGGGCTTGGGGGCTTATCAGCGGGTTTGTTTGGTGCTTTCTTGGAGATGGTTTTTGACATCTCCGCGGAGTGTGGAGGTTTTACGGATCATTGCATTTGAGCGTAGCGACGACGCTTACTTCTCATCAGTAATCAACCTTTATAAGTCATAGTCTCAAGCGTAAATGCAACAAAAAATGTTTTCACACTGCCTGGTTTCCTGTGTTTCTGCGACTACCTTTTCTGTGTACCCAGTTCTTGCGATTAAGGACAATAATGACGATAGTAGAAGGAACATCAATGACGATGACGACGATGAAGATGACGATGAAGATGACGATGAAGATGACGGTGACGGACGACAGTAATAGTGACAACAACAATGATACCCATAACGACAATAACAGCGACACAAAGATTTTAACACCAGTCATGTAGAACACATATAAGCCACATAAAAAGTCACAGTAGCACATTAAGCATGCTGTGTCTACTGAGATCATACTCATTTTCGTGATTTTCTCATCTGCTACGGAATTTAATTACGCTTGCCATTGGGGAAAAAAAGAATTTACATGTCTGTAACCGCGTTACAGCGTCAGAACAGTCGTCTAGAGGCCTGCATGTGGCTGGAAAGATGAACGGATTTCGACCTCAGACCCCGGCAAAATGATCAAAGCAACGCAACATCTGGGACGCTCGTATTTCTTCAATTCTCAGTGAGTTACCGTGACTTAGAGGCCGCAGACTACCTTGTAGAATTGCCAAAGAACATTTCAGCAGCCAGTCTGCTGTTCGGTTTGGCACCAGCTTCGGTTGGGGCCGGGTGTGGGGCTGTTCCCGATGCCGTGTTCGCTTCCGGCTACCGGCCGAGATCGCGGAACCTCCACACTCCAAAACACCACAACATCTTGTGATAGCTCACATACCTTAATTAGCACTGTTATCACCTTGGCTTGGTTCAACGGACAAAGCCTTCCGCTACGTAGTGGACGAGACCCTCGGACGCTCCTCTTGCGGCGCCGGTCCCATGACCAGGAGGGTTGGGCTGGACTGGAATCAGTACAAGATCAACAGGAGAGCTCTTTGAAGGCATTCTTACGTAGAACCACGCAGCAGTCCCCAAAGCGGTATAGACGGCTAACAGCAGGAAGCCTTCTAGATAATTGCTTTTGCCATCTCTTAGGAAGTTTCCAACTGTAATGATAGCTAAGATGAGCATGGTTATGTCGAAAGCTTCGAAGACCAAGTCGAAGTGCTTGTGTCTGCCCCAGGCAACAATAGTAACCAGAGGGGCGTTTAGTAGAGCCGTCTGGAGCGTAGCACCGAGTACATGAGAGAGGGCAAAGTTCATCTGGTTGTCCCAGGCCTCGTCGACAGCCGTCAAGTGCTCAGCCGCCTTCTCAACAAGGGGAACGAGAATCAGGCCCATGAACGGATCAGAAATACTGTGCTCCTCGACTATAGGCGCGATCTGTTCCACGAGAAATATGGCCATGAACGTAACCAACGTGATTGCGACAACAAGTGCAATGATACACTCCGTCAGAGTCAGTTTGGCCTTCCTGATATCTCTGTGCTTGTCGTTATCTCGTTGCTCGTCATTTTTGAAGATTGCGTCGTAAATTCCGTGATGGGTTCGGGCTTGAAAGTAAACATAGACCAGGTAGGAGACAATCAGGATCAAAGACACGATCCGGGAAATATGGAGGGTTTTCTTGTCGATCTCCTCCACAGTGAGGACACCCTGGAGCGAGCGGTCGAAGATCGTAGGGATCGCCAGGGCAACGCCACTATTTAGAACATATCAGCGTTGAATTCTGTGCTAGGGGAAGTGTGGCTTCTCACGCTGTCAATAGGAGACCGCTTCCCGCCTCGGTGATGGTATCGCTAAACTCTGTTTCTTCCCGCCGCACGCCGCCGGCGACAAAGCACAAACCTAAGCATAGCAACATCGTCGCTAAGATAGAACCCAAAATTGCCGCTTGAATAACTGCGAACTGGCTGCTTTTCAGGAGAACCATGAAAAGAATGAGCTCGACCACAGATCCCAAGCTGCGTTCATGTAAGTTGAGAAATTCCAGCTAAATCGTTGATGTGTTAACTCACGTGGTTTCCATCAACACACCAAACACATGATTGACCTTGCGAGCAAGTTCCTGGCCCGCAAAACCAACCATGTTGGCGCAAGGAATCATCGAAATGTAAACCAGTACGAAAATCAACACGTGCTCATTGGGTAAAGTATCTACAGATCATGTTAGCTGTGCTCGCCTCTACGTACACTCAGCCTTTAAGACGTACATCTGACAGCAAAAGCAGCCGGGACAACAGGCCAGAAGAAGTTGCAAACCAGAGAAGCTCGACTTGACGATTTCCATGTGATTTTCAAAAACTTCATGGGGTGGAATCCTTTGCGTCCGCTCTCGCCGGAAGGCTTGACGCGGACCTTGCTGCGCGGCGGCGGCCGTCGATGAGGAGGGGCATTGTTGTAGACTGGTAGTGAATCCCGGTCGTTGCCTGAGATTCCAGAAGTGCGTGCCTTTTCGGGTATGACGAGGTTATTTGACTCTCGGCGTCTCGAGACCGACTCGCGGTAGGTTTGGCGGTATGGTGACCTCGGTGACCTCGGTGTGGACATGATGGCTGATGGGGGTGTTTAGACAACTGGTGACAAAACGTTGTCGACCCAGACACCAGCAGAAATATACAGATTCGAAGACCGATTCTAGAGAGTATATACGGTGGTCGGTATGGATATCGCCAAGCCGATGCAGGGTGGTGTTAATGGGGTCAGGGACATGTATGAAGTGGAACAGCCCCAATACCAAGACTTTGTAGATTGCGGCTCAGTGGATAAAAGTAGGGAGGGGCATGGAAGGATATTAAGAAAATGGGGAGCTGAGGGGATCTCAGGATCAACGTGGTCCAGTCCCTTGGATTTCAGGCCCCTGGTCGTGGTGCTTGGGTGGCTGGTCTGGGCCTGTGGTTGGGGATTTCGGACGAGGGTGTTTCAACATCAGCTTCTCAAGGGCAGTCGGTGAGGAGAGGATGACAGTTCTCACGCGGGAGATCTGGAACGGTTGAGCCCGCAAAGTAAACAGAAAATCTTCCGTCGATCCGAGGTTTGTTCTGGTAAGTCGGAGAAGAGAGAGTTCGTGACAAGTTCGGCCTCGCAGCAGGTTGGCAAGGGCAGACGACGGAGGGGTTCCCCCGGATACTTTTAACACGGAAAGGCACATCCTATGTATGATGCAGGCATCGCGGTCGACACACATCAACAGAGGAGAGAGCAACGAAAACGAGAGGTCGCCCTGGGGTCTGAATCAAGGCACAGCCAAGCTTGCTGTCATGCCAAGACTCTCTAACAGAACCCTTGTGCATTGCTCGGGAGAGTTGGGCGTGTATGGGTACACCCAGGACGTCGACCGCCTCGCTGCAATTACCGTGAAACCGCGGGTACAAGATACCTGTCTGAGGCGAGTGCGAAGCGCCGCAGGAAAAGGCTTTCTTGGTTTTGTGCACCGAGAGAGCGGGCGGGAAAGAAAACCACGCTAGCCACGCCTGTTCTGCACTGTTGTGTGTGTCTCCTCCATTCATCGTTGCAATCTGGACGGAAAGCCTTGGGTCTGGACCATGTAAACAACACAGCAGCAAGCGAAAAGATCCATTCAATAGGGCGGTAAAGGGTCTCAAGGCCCTTGCGGTAAGGTGGTGCAGATAAGCCGCCAAGCCTAAACGACGTCACTGGGCGCTGTGCTGTACCCCTGCAGGACGGGACATTTCCTCCCAAATGCGACCTTTTGAGCTGGCCGATGATGAGGTCGTCCTCTTCACCTCGCCGACCCCAATCTCAACGTCCTCCCATGTCCAGCCACATCAAGCCAAAACAACTGTCTTGGCGGCCGATGATGACCCATTCTGACAAGTCGTACTTTTTGCCATTGCAATCTGACAGCAGCCACACAACGCGTGCTGCTCGCACACACATAGCACGGCCCGGCGGGTGCCGAGGCTTCTGGCATCTGGGCAAAGTCATGCGATGGACGCGGCGGGCGCGGCGGGCGGGACGAATCAATGCGGCCTGATTGCGACGAGGTGCTACAGACATCATCCCAGATCCACGCCTCAGTCCGCGAGTGCAAAACGAGCAGCAAAACATGAACGTTCTGAGGGAGGCAGCCAGACACGGGCACCAACACGGAGAACGGGATGAGAAACCGCTACAGCCAGGGACCCAGCCTATAACGTTAGACGTTCCGAGAATTAACACCAGAGCTAGCACTGTCCCGGAAGAAACCAAGCTTCGCCCAAGAAGCCACCAAGAACCGGCCATGTGGATATGCCATGAGCGCCCAGTGCCCAGAGGCTGCGACACTGCATCAGCTAAAAAAAAATCCCCACTCCGATTCCCCAGAGGGAACCGGACCATCCCATCCAGGCACCCTTGGCAAAAGCTTTTTTCGTCCACTCTTCACCAGACAATCCACATGTTTGCTGCTTGTTTATACGGAAAGGACTGGCCAGCGGATGTATGTGAGATTGGAAACTATGGAACCATCCCCAGTCTTCGACTAACTCACTCGTCGCCTGTCCACACCTCTGCGTCCTCCAAAAGCACCGTGTCCTGGTCCTCGAACTCTTCCTCCTTGATGTCAATAAGCCTCAGGTTATTCCGGTCTTTGGGTGGCACAGGCTGGGCTACAATCACTGTCTCTAACCCCGCCGGACACTGCTCCTCGGGGCCCATTGGCAGAGCCTCTACATCAATCTCCATGTTCAAGATGGCTTTCAGAATGACCTGGCTGCCCGCCTTGCTCATGACATCGTTCTCCTTGCACAGCTCCGAGGCCACGCACTCAATACAGCCACTCTCGCAGTAACATTCCTCGACTCGCTTAAGTGCTTGCTGCAGAAGGTGGTCAATGTGTTCGAAAGCCTTGGTGCTGATCCCCGAGCCGCTGGCACCGCCCTTTGCGTCGTAAAACGTCAGTCGACCTGGCCGCTTCCTCTGCGACTCCTTCTTGGCGAACTCCTTGAGCGCCACCTTGCACTCGGTCCGCACGTCGCCGGGCAGACTAATCACAAAGTTGGGCATGAGACTCAAAATGGCATGCTCTGCCGCGTGAATGGACGCGGCAATGTGTAGTCGTCTGTCGGCCAGGATCTGCAGCGCCTTTTTCGGTATGTCCAGCCACATCCCCTTCCCATATCGAATGACAGGAGGGTTGTCCACATGAACAGCGTCCAGAACACGTTTCTTCTTGTCGACCTTGAAGAATCCGTATACATTCTGCTGGATCTTGATCGTGCCGTAGAAAGCCTTCGACAAAGATCCGGATATTCGCCGGATCGCTTCTGTCTCGATGGGGTCTGTGTCGGTGAAGTCTCGTTGCGTCGTGGTCCACTCAACCTTGACCCGTTCCACTCGTGCCATCATCTTGTCTGGCTGAAAATCCCGGACGAGGTACTTGCTTCCCTGATGCAGGAAGATGGCGCCGTCGTAGATCGTGAACGTGGCCCTTGAAGCCTCCAGTTCCTCCAAGACTTCGTTCTTGCCATGAGTAATGTCGATGATTGCGAAATGATCGTCTTCCGTGTCGCGGATGGCAACAAACCTCGACGGAATGGGCCGGAATCGATCGTGGCAATGATAAAAGCCCATGGCGTCCCTGAGCAAACGTTCTTCGCAGATTTGGGGAAGATCTTGACCAAAGTATTCGGCATCCTCCGCAGGCCTTACAGGCATCTCGTAAGCAGCACATTGGATGTGGCCCTCTCGTACCAGCATGTTTTCAAGGTCAACCTGCAGCTCGCAATTGGGCTTGGTAAAGAGTTCGTCGGGATTCTGCATGTAATGCTGGTCAGTGGGGAAGCAGTCTCCCACTAGGACGGAGAGCGAGTCTTTGTTTCTTCGTCCGGCTCGTCCACTCTGCTGTCGTAGGTTGGCGATTGTGTACGGGAAGCCCCATGTCAACACGCAGTCTAGTGTGCCAATGTCGATACCGAGCTCCAGAGCTGTAGTGGCAACGATTCCAAGCAGCTTTCCCTCAAACATCTCCGACTCGATCCTGCGTCTATCCTGGGCCGTATAGCCTCCCCTGTAGCCCATGACCCTATTGACACACTCCGGCCGCCCAATAGATTCTAATTCTTGCTGCACAGCGGTTACTAGCTTCTCGCACTGCTCTCTTACCCTGGTGAAGGCGATGATTCGTACGCCTCTCAGCATCAGCTGACAAAAGAGGCGCGCACATTCGAACATGGCATCGCCTCGTCCACTAGCTGGATCGCCTGGGTCTCGGTATGGAGTGTTCCAGCACAAAAACTCCTTTCGACCTAGTAACGTTAGTCACATTGATTATTCAAAGGTTCAGGCGATGGGAACTTGCCCGATGGAGAACCGTCGAAGTCGACCAGCCTCACATTCTCAATACCGAATATTGTTTTGAAGTGCTGCTTGGGGTTGGCGACGGTCGCCGAACATGAAATGAACTTGACGTGGCGGTTTCCCACCGCGGCACAAATTCGTCGCAGCCTTCTCATGATGAAAGACACATGAGATCCCATCTGTCCGTTATAGTAGTGCAACTCATCGACGACGACGTATTTCAGGTTCTTCAAGAACGTTCTCCATCTCTCTTCCTGCGGCAAAATCGTTATGTGCAGCATGTCTGGGTTGGTGAAGATGATCCTTGCTTCGTCTCGGATCGCATTTCGTTCTTTCATGGGCGTATCTCCATCAAAAGTTTCCACAAGCACATCTTCCATCCCTGGCATATAGCTCAGCATCTCCCTCAGGCTCCTCTTTTGATCCTGGGCTAACGCTTTCGTTGGAAAGATGTACATTGCCCGTGTGTGGTAGTCCTTTTCTAGAGCGTGTATAACCGGAAGCTGGTAGATGAGAGACTTTCCTGAGCTCGTGGAAGTGGCAACAACTACGTGCTGGCCCTCCAACAGACCGTTAATCGCTTCCGCTTGGTGGGCGAAGAATTGTGTGATCCCTTTAGCATTGTACAAGGCATTGACCAAATCCTGACTGAGGAGAAAGTTGAGATCTCCATAGACGGCCTCCTGAGGCTCAAACACGCGGTGACCATCAGGTACAATCTGTCCTGTATACCACGGGCTGTCTTTCAGCTCCTGTACGATTTCAGGAATGCTCTTCCGTTCCGTAGGTATCGATTCGGGCAACGCTCCCAAACTCTTTTCGGGCGGATCCTCTGGGGCGGTCGGCACTGGTATAAAGGCCTCTGCTGCCTTGGACAGAGCCTGCTCGGGGTCGAGATTGTCCGAGATACATTGGTTGATGAATACGTTCATTGCGTCAATGAACTTCTGATTCCTTCTCTCGATGAGATTCGTCATCTGCTTCTGGCTGTAAACGGGTATTTTCAGGGTCTCTTCCCTCAATTTCCTGTTTGGCTTGGTGATTTCGCCCGTCTTCTTGTCCTTGACTTGTCGCTTCAGGTCACCATCCACAAATTCGAAGTACAGCACTTCTTTTCCCCCTTCGACGCGCTCGTCGGGGTGTTGGTCTAGCTTCTCAAGGCCAGATATTCCGCCAACGGAAGCATCGGGAGCAGGTGCTTGAGAGCGAAAGTCCCGTCCCGCCTTGAATGTCACGTCGCGCTCCGCCCCTCTGACCTCGGTTTGCAACATGATCTCGTCAACGTAGGCAAAGTTGAGCCCTTCTGGCCGCACAGCTGCGATAGATGCGACATCCTCGATTGTTAATACTTTTTTGGTGTGCGATTCAACTGCAGATCTGATCGTCTCAAAGGTCGTGGCAAGATGCTTGCGCGTACAGCAGAAAGTAAACACTAAGTTGAGAGCGCGATGTGTCTTCTCTAGTGCTTTGAAGGAGTCTGGCCAGTCAACGTTGCATGTAACCGAAGATGCGGCGCTCTCCGTCCGATTTAGAGCGGAGGCAGTCTTCTTCGGCGCGGTCCGTTTCCGGGCATTGGTACTTTTCTGGCTGTCCGAGGTATCGTCATTGCCGAGCTGGCCGCCTGCCGAAGAATCTTCTCCGTTTCCGCTGTCGGCAATCCCTCCTTGATTGTCCTTTCTCTTCCGCTTGCCTCGGGCCTTTTGCACGACTGCCTCTGTCCCGCTTTGCATGGCTACTGACTTGGAGGAGACCAAAGCGGCCTCTGCGCGGCTAGCCATCAGCTAACATGAGGAAGTGGGTGTAGATGCTGGCGGTAAACTATGTGTCCGATTCGCATCAGACTCAAAGTACAGAAATCACATGTTTCTGCACCATGTTCTGCAAAAGAGGCAGCAGGACCTGAGGGAACGCGAGACGCCACTGGCGTGGAAGATGAAAGAGTCGTCTGCGTCACGTAATCCACACCTAGTCACGTGGACCGAGCTCCCACCGTGTCGGCTCATGCTTTTCAGCAAAGAATTCTTCCTTCTGCTTCGTAAGAATAGAGTAATTATTAAGGGCAATCCCCGAATAGTTGTGTTACTGCGGTTGATTGATATCTAAAGTGTACCAAAGGACACTGGTTTCCTGGTATCATGACAGGACAGCGTCCCGAATCCGGATGGTCAGAGGACTCCTACAAAAATGATTGCCGTGCCGCCGACTGTATGTCTCTGCCTTCCCCGCCTGGCCCCCAATAACCAGGAATACTTCCGCCACCAGTCGACCATTTGAAGGTCTTGTGCGCTCGATGGGAATCATCTAGCAAGTCCACATAGTCACCAGCTCGGTCTATGGCCATTAACTTATCCACAGCTGAGAAATATGATGCTCAATTGCTCGACAGTTCTCTTTGAACCATGCCAACCTCATTGAGGAACGATTTGGCGCTGGCTGCACTCATCTGCGATTGGTATGTCAGTACTTGATTCGGTATCGAGTGTCGGAGATATCCTTACCCTCATGTGAACGCTGACGGGCTTCGCTTCTTCACCCTCGAATGCGGTGAACATGACTCCAACGGACTTGAGAGACGTCTTCTCCTGGAACTTCATAGCAGGCAAGATGACTGTGTTGAGAAGTATCCTGTGTGTCTGATCTTGTCTCATGATCAGACGGGCAACCTTATGGGCCGTGCCGTTGCCAGCCTCTGGATCCTCGTCGTTCTCCAGGCCCGATGCATCAAAAGAACCGGGAATGGGAAGGCCTGAGTCATCAAACGAAACGCAAGCTTCAGGGACGTTGATCTTCAGCATACCGGAGCCACGCTCCTTCCAACCAACCTCCTTCTCCAGATAGAACATCTTGGCTCTGACCTGAATTATCGTAGCCTCGCCGGCCTCGCCGTCATCGACAGTGACTGTGGACGGTTAGCAAAGTTAAAAGCCAAGCAAGATACGTGCCGCTCACTCTTCTGCAGCTTGGTGCGCTTCTTATCATCACCAGCCTTGGATTCTTCCTTGTCAGACTCCTCCTTTTCCTCCTTGTCACCGGACTCTGAAGCAGATCCATCATCGCCGTCAGCGTCATCGCCGCTTCCGTCTTCCACGTCGCTTTCCGGTGCGCCAAAAGGTTTGGCAGGCTTCTCGCTTTTGAAGGAAGACTCTCCTGCCTTGGCAAAGCTCGTCAAGGGTTTGCCCGACAGTGCGCTGCCGAAGCCACTGCCGAATGCCGAACCAAAACCGTTTGCGCCGGCGGTCTTAACGCTGGCGAACGGCGATGAGGCGGCGCCAGCGCCTCCAAAACTCAATGTCGGTGCGGCAATAGGAGCCGCAGCGGGCTTGGACGGCGACAGGGAGCCAAATGGCGATGCTGAGGACGTTGATCCGCCAAAAACGCTGCCTTTTGTAGAGTCTCCCAAAGAGCCAAACGGGGACGCACTTGATGCGGCCAGCTTGGCGAAGCCAGAACTGGCAAAAGCGGCAGCCGATGTCCCCTGCTTCTCCTCCTTGGCAGAATTTTCTGCTGCTGCGGACGTGGCCTCGGTCGTGGTGGAAATGCTGTTCGGCGTTTTCGTTTCGGCGGTGACGGGCGATGTCACCTGTTTGGCGGCAAAGGCAGGTCAGCACGATAGAGCAAAGGCAAACATACCGGCACGTAGGAAATTTGGAGGAGGAAACGTACAGAAGAGTCGGCGGCGGCGTCAACAGTCACTCCATCTCTGTGCCTCTTCTTCTCGGGTTCCAGTCGCGAAGCCCTGTCCTTGGCAGAATCGCTTGACGCTACGCTCTTGCTGTCCGCCTCCTCAGCGTCTCTGTCCTCGTCGTCTAGCTGGTCGTGGGCCCTCTTCTGTTTCTTCTTGGGTGACGAGACTTGCTCCTTTTGCTCATCGCCTGCACTCAGTTGGGGCGTCGTCGCGCCGGTGGCCCCCTCAGACTTCTCTGAAATGGCCGTATGCTTCAACTCTTTGCGAGCAGCAGCGGTCTCAGCATCCTCCTTGGCGTCGATGGGATCCGACTTTGGGCTACCGCTCTGAGGGTTGTCGGCCATGTTGAAGAAATGCTTGATACAACCTCGTAGTCAACCGGTGTGCTGGTCGTTGTCGTTCGTGGTTGTCCCGCTGTCGTGGGTGGTTTAGAGGAGGGTTTGGGGTCGGTCTCGGTTTCTGCCGACTTTGCAGATGCTAAAGCCAAAAGCGACAGTGGTTGACAAGCGATGGAGTGGCAGGTGACGGTGCCAGCGAATACGTAGGTGCAAGCAAAACAATGAGTCTCGGCCACCGCAAGGGGTTATCTACAACAAGGGTTCGAGACGAGTGGTTGCAGGTCAAGAAGTCGCAGTTGCACGTTTTGTCGGCGATTGCGCAGGTATGGCCTTGGGCGGTGGATGAGTTTACGGTGCGGGTGTGCGGGTGTGGATGTGGTTGTGGATGCGGATGCGGTGACAACAGTACGGTGCAGTGCCAGTAAGGTACCGTAAGGTAGGTTCTGTAAGGCATAGGCGAGCTGTGAGCTGAGGTGCAGTGTCCGCTGTTTCTGGAGGTTCAGCTTGGCTGGGAATAATTGGATGGGGCCGACCTGGAGCAGACGACAATCGGCCCAATCATTCGGTGCACCTGGTTCGGATAAGTCGACGACAGAGCCCAGGTTCAATTGGATCGATGGCGGCCCGCATTAGCGTCTCCGGCCTGGTCAAGTCCAGCTCGGTCAAGTCCAGTGTGTTCACGTCAACCTTGAGGGTGACTTGAGGTGATGGGACTGACTGAGAGGGGTAAATTCGTACAGTGCTGAGTTGGACAGCGAGGCACACCAAAACACCCTAGCACCCCCCGCCTCAGCCGCCACCCTCACATTGCTCGCTAATTATGCACTGACCAGACCTCGATGCTTCACTGCAAGATCCGGGATATAGCACTCCCAAACGGGCAACACGATGCCCAGCCTGTCGGCGGAAAATGCCGTGGCCGCATGCGGCGACGGCGCTCCCAGCGCCTCTGGCACGGAAGGCTCTGATATAAAGCTACCAGCAGAGTGTATCTCTATGTCGAATATCTCATCAGAACGGCGACATGGCGCCATAGACAACCTGAATTTGAGGTTTCGCGCTCAAATGGAAATTCTCTCTCATAGTTTGTCCACAAGACAGGCTTAGGCTTGCGAGTAACAACAAGGACACTTCCTGAATTCTCACTCATTGGCCTACGGCCATAACTCGAAGCTAACTCATACAACACCGTGGATATCTAATACAACCTACGCCCCGGTCCTTTTCGTCGTCGATGCGAGGGGTCTCCTGAGCGATGACCGTGGTTTGCTGGGACTCCTGCACTCTAACTGATGAAGCAAAGGCAGCCTAAGCCGAGATAGAAGACAAAGAGCGGGTACACCGCGATACCGACGCGGTTCTTGACGACGCCGCTGCCACCTAGAATACTCACTCCTGCAGCCAACGACCACGCCACCAAGAAGAGATAGACGGGAACACGAGCGACTGTCGGAATACCGAACGCCGAGAGCAACGCCGCGATGACCAGGGGAAACAGCGTGTATCCTATAATGCAGACGCTCTGCGCGAATGAACTGCAGTTGCATGTTAGCGCAGCCGGAAGATGGATTTTCTGGTTGCCAGAGGCTACCAGGAGACGACTCACATGCTTCCTCCCAGAAGCTTGATCTGCAACGTGACCACGGCCTCTCCGATCCAAATCATGGCAAACACGCCGCTGAAGACAACGTCCTTCTGATCTGCTCGCGCATTGAAGCTCAGAAGAAGACTCAGCAACAGGCAAAATATGAGGGGTCCCCAGAGATCCCAGTCACGCAGACCAGGCGTCATGTTGTTGCCCGACAGAAGAGCTTCCGAATCCATGAATCGATTTGCCAGCCCGGTAATCTCTTCACGAGCGCCAGCGAAGCCAGCCCCGCGAATGTTCGCGTACGCGCCCCGGAGGCCATCGGCATCGAACATGGTACCCCCAAGGAGATACTTGGGGTAGAGGACCTCCCGCATTTTCGCCCACACGGCTAGGAGATCTCGACGAAGGGTGTCCCACACCGACTCATCGATTGTGTTTTGAGGTGCGGCGCGGTCTTCGCCAGGTATCCGCGAGGTCCAGGCATTCTCGTTTAGAGGTCGCGACGACGAAGAGCTGGAACCGATGTTGCCAGTCAGTGGCTGACGGGAGGACGTGTGGCCGAGGGGATCGGCAAAGTCATCAAGATCGGCTGTCCAACACAACGGTCAGCCTGAGCTAAACACAGCATCAGAAGCGGTATGAATGCTTACCATCATCTGGATCGATCAGGTCGTCGTCGGCCAAGGGAGGGTTGGCATAGTCGTCTCGCCTGGCTGTGGATGCCATTGTTGGCTGCAGTGACTAGAGGAGCAAGGTAGCGGTGTTGCGCGTGGATAGGAATGCGCGTTATGTCAAACGCTGCAATTAGTTTCTTCGAGCGTCGGCCTCGGCGAAGAAAGGGTCAATTGCAGCTTCGTGAAGTAGAGATGGGACGGGATGGGAAAGTCGGCCAGCTTACGTACGTAGCAGCTTGCGATTCTCAAAAGACTCCACGGTTTCCTCAAAGGCCCAGCGAGTGGTCCAAGCTCCCCGGACCCCGTCCCTTGCGTCGGAATATACAGACCCGCTCCCCGACCATCTCCCTTCACCAATCACAAGCGCATAGCTGTGCCTTTGGTCGACCCACTTCCCCGTTCCAGCCGCCGCCGACATCCACAGTGTTCCGACTTTCACTGTGGGTCTCCGCCCGGAAATGCCGATCAGCACCGGCTTACCAGAGACGACTAAATTGTCACACTGGAGATGATGACTTAGTGGCAATGGGTGCCATGTACACACAAGACCTCCGCTAATTTTCGGTGCCTGCGAATGGTAACCATGCTACATGGCTCCAAGTTATCGCGTAACTTATTTGTACACACAGCTTTCCAAGCTGACGAGCGTTCGCCAATGTCCCGCGAGCATCTCAATTATTTGAAAAACGACTCCGCCTTCTCCATCTCGTGGGTATCTATCTATCACTCTGCCGGCATTTCTAGTAAAATGCGGGGGTGCCATAAGCCGTCCTCGCCACATGTGCTGTCAAATTCCAAACAATCCGTCCTAAACCTTTGCTGCTACAATCTTCGATAATTTTTACAACCCAATTTATGTCGTTAATGATTGTGACTGATCGCAAGTCATAACCTCAAATCACAGCCCCCAACGCCGATGTGCCAATAAGTAGCCCGTCTACTGCCAGGGGTAGCGATAGCCATGGGATGAATCGTTTGGACCAGCCGATGTGGTGGGAACGTTGTTGGAGTGCCCATTTGAGTCTCCATTCGAATGTCCGCCACCATTGTACGGTGGTGGGGTCTCACCCCAGGACTGGTCTTGCAATGCAGCTCGAGAGCCCGGAGGCTGTTGGTGTTGCCCTTGCTGGTGGTAATGCTGGTGCTCACTATGCTGCTGTGGACGATGTGGGGGGTGATTGTGATTAGGTCTGCCATACTGATCATACGCAGATGTGTACGCGGGCTGGAGCCCAGGCCATGTCGGGGGAGGCTGGGAGTATGTGTAGTTGCTCCTGCCAATTTGGGGAGCATGAGTACAACTCGACGATGTTTCTTGCGCCTGTGGCTGTTGGTATCCGGAGGACGATGATCCGAAACCACTCTTGTGTTTCTCGTCGTACTGTGCCCAGCGATGAACCGCCTGGTTTTCCGGTCCAAGGTAGGACATATTGCCAGCACTCGGATCCCACACCGGAAGTCCGTCAGGCTGTGCCTCGCCACGAGGTAAACCACGGGTGTAAGTAGCAAGATTGCCGTTGATACCAACGAGAGCCCAGGCGAAAACGGCAACGTCTCGGATGGAGCTCATGAGATGATCCACCGGAGGACCGCCGATGGCCATGACGTTGTCGCGCAGAGGCATGTACTGTGGCATGAGGGGGGGCCTGAATGCGTAGAGCATATCTTGGGGACCTTGGGGCCGAATCGGATGATGTCCCCATGGCGCGGCGAAAAGACCGTTGGTGTATGTAGGCGTGACCAGGGGTGGGTGAGGTGCCGGAATAGGTGGGCGGGCTTTCCGTAGCACGACAACCAGCCCGTCAGACGTGCAGGACACGACGGCCTCGAGCTCGAATGTTGGGATTGGTTCACGGCGCCGGTTTCTCATAGGCTCGGCAGGCGGTGACCTCCGAGGTGCCGGCCCGTCGAGTGGCGGGGCGGTCGTTGCAGAGGTCTGCTGTGTCCGGCTGCTCGAACCGGAAGCCGTCGTAGTTGCCGTCTGTGCAGAGCTGTGGGTTGACAAGTCGGGCCGACCGGTGTCTTCTTGCTTGATGGCAGGTTCGTCGTCAACGTCCATGCGGCCATCAAGCTGCACGCCTCCACCCTCAGAATCGCTGGAGTTCCCACTGTTATGCTCCTCGTCGTCATCTTCATCCTCAAAATCCTCCGGTCGACGCGGGTCTCTGTACCAAAATCGAAGGTAGGCAATGGAGTCGTTGGCCTTGGCACTTTCCAGGCAACGGATGGCATCGGGAAGGCAGTTCTCCTGAATGCATTCATAGAAGCTCTTGTCTTTGATCTGGTCCGGCCGGACACCAAGGATGGAGGCTACGGCGTTCGTAGCGAACATGACAGTCAGGGTCCGGGTGAACCTGTTGAGAATGAGAGCGGCGCGCGGCTCGCGCTCCACCGGGGGCATCCTGAACTTGGGTGACAAGTGCTCGAGCATGTGGTAGCGAGGGTCCCGAGGAGAGGACGAGAAGATTCGACGGATCTGGGGTGCCTCAATGGCTCGCCCTAGTACGGTGGTTAGCAATGATGGAGGACATGGGAGACGGAGGCATAACCCACTTTCACTCCTTTCACCTCGCTGGTAGATACTGGTGCAAGCGACCAGGACATCGTGCACGACTGTGAAGCAACACTCGCAACTCACCCACTGGCCATTTCGGGCCTGGATGCGAACATAGTGAAGCACGGCGGCCTTGTCCAGCAGGACCCCGCGACTGTGAATTGAGCGAGCGAACGGCACCTCCTCG